GAAGTCCTTTTTTTTTTTTTTTTTTTTTTGTCTTTTTCCATGTCCGGCAACGGATCGCAACCCTCAGTGTCGCCCCCGTACCGGACCGGGACCGGCAACGGGATTGCAACCCTCGGTGTTGCCCCCGCACCTCGCTCAGCCAGTGAGCGGGAACCGGTCTGTATGTGGGATCCGAACCCTCAGCGGGAGCGCCTCCACGCTTCCCAAGCAGCGCACTAGCGCAGTGCACCACCGGGCCGGCCCCGAAGTCCATTTTTAACAAAGACAGAACATGCATGGAATTTCCCCCCAAGTCCAGCTGGAACGATGCTGCCTAACTTAGGAGTCTACTTATAAAATGAAGGGAAGTGATGGAAACAAAGTCAGCGTATGCATGTTACAGCAAGACTCGCTGCAATCCCAAACCTTGTGAGGTGCAGGAAGAAATTTAGGATGATTCCCAGGTTTCTGCCTTGGATGCTGCTAACTCCTAAAATACAGCAAGTGGAAAACACTGAAGATTGGGAAGGCGAGGGAATGGACATTCAGTTCAGGTTGAGAAATTTTGATTTTGAAGTGCCCATGGAATGCCTGGTAGACTAACTAGTAAGTGTGCAGGTGCAGAACTCCAGAGAGAAATCACATCTACTGACACAGACAATCTCACTGAGAGTAAATGAGATTGCTCAGGAGAGGGCACAGAACGGGTAAAGGTGGAAACACAAAAAAGATGCTCAGGAAGGTGGAGTGAGAGAGGTCAAAATGAACCAAGAGACGATGGTGTCAGAGAGGCTGGTGAGAGAGAGGGCATGTCTCTAGTGACCCAGAAAGGTCAAATAAGTTTTGAAAGGAGATCACCATATTTCATGATAAGAAATCTTTGGTGACTTTTGTGAAAAAGGTAGGTGATGGAGTTGGATGTGTTGTCCCCTCCAAAACTCATGTGGAAATTTGATCCCCAATGCAGCAGTGTTGGAAACTCATTGAGTCATGGGGGCAGATCCTTCACGAATGGATTAATGCTCTCCCTGGGGGAGGGGTAGTGAGTGAGTTCTCACTCTATTATTTCCAGCGAGAGCTGGTTGTTTATAGGACCCTGGAACCTCCTCTCTCTCTTGCTTTTTCTCGCCATGTGATCTGTTTGTACCCACTGGCTGCCTGCCACTTTCCACCATGAATAGAAGCAGCCTGAGACCGGTGCCAGATGTAGCTGTCCCAGAATCATAAACCAAATAAATCTCTGTACTTTATAACAGTCTCAGGTATTTCTGTTATAGCAAAACAAAACAGACTAATACAGCAGGAATTACAAAATTAGAGATGAGGAAGAAAAGTCAGTGACTTCAGAAGTGTTTTTCTCAATAGCAAAACAACCTGGGAGTAGACAGTAGGGGAAGAGAGACCACAAGAAATCACAAAAGCTCCTTGGGGCAGGGTGGGAAAGCCCAGCCTCTTGTCAGGAGATGCGAGTGCTTAGAGAAGTTTCTTTTTCCTTTTCTTTTTGTTAATATACAATATATATACAGTACAAAAGCCAAAAGTTACCAAAGTGAGTACACAATGACAACTCAATCTCCCTCCTACCACTGTCCCCCATTCACTTTTCCAGAGGCAATCACCACTATCAGGGGTAGGTGTTTATAAAGGCACTGGATTATCCAAAAATATGAGGCATAGGTCATTCATTTAAAAATAAGTTTGCTTGTGACTGCATTCTATCAGGATAAATTGTTATGATAAAGGGAGTACCAGGACAGGCTGCCCCACCCCCACCTTCCTTAGTATTTGGGGACGGGGCCACCTCCTTGTGCCTCTCAACAATAGAACTCTGTGGCAGGACATTCTGGCCACCTACAAGAAATAGAGACTGCAGATGATTTCTCTGTGACACAGACACTTTCACATTTTAGCAGAAGCATCCACGAATAAGGTATAATTTAAGTACTTAAATCAAATTTTTGAAAACATATTTAATTACATATAATCTAGATTTTCAAATGCAGAAGAGAAACAAAAAAAGTATTCACTCTAAAAAATAAAATAAAATGTATTTCAGTTAACTCTCAAACTTTTCTTGGACTGGTTTTCATTTTATTCTTCACATAAATTTCTGTATTATTTTATTTTTCAAGTAGAGACCTGGTCATAGGATACCTAATTTTTAATGAATTTTGTTAAACTATCGTCACATAATGAAAGGATAAAAGGGATTTCAAATCCAAACAGAATTGGGTTTTTCTCAAGTTTCTTTGGGTACAAATTATTAAAGGAACAAAAGAGTCTCCCACAGGCCTCCTAATTACTTCTGCCCTGTACAAATGACAAGTATGAACTCATTCTCTATTTACACAGGGCTTTAAGACGAGCTGCCTATTTTTTACCCTATTATCAGCAGAACGATCCAAATACTAAGAGGAGGGTTAATAACATAACTAAAAAGGAAACCAGGTATTCTGAATAAATTCTGTATACTTTTGCCACACGCAGTAAGTTCTGTATACTTTTGCCATGCCCAGTAACTGCTGGCAGGAATGTAATTGACATGGCATTTCAACTGTCCCTTCCCACCCCTCTCTCACTTACTAAACCTTTTCCAAATAGACATAGCCAATTAGCACATTTCCACTCATTCATGCAAAGATGAGCAGCTGCTTAAAGAAGTTCATCCCAATCTACTGCTAAAGTAACTTATCCAAGAATCCAATGCTTGCTTTTTGCAAAATTACTCAGTAGAGCTTTAGTCATTTCATGCCAGAAGCAAAGCTATTGTCTGAATCTTTCTTTGTATTTTGTAAACTAATCAAGCTAAGTCACTGGTAACTCAGATATCATATGGATGTCATTGCCCCATAGGTCTCTATGTAAACTTGGCTCAAACCCCTAATTCCATTTATAAGAATTTAGAGCCTGTATAATGTTAACAAATTCCCAACCTAACTCTCTCTGGTCTATCTTTTTCCATCTTTGCTGGCTATGGCTCTCTTGCCAAGCTTAAGGAAATAAATCTACTCTCGCCTCGCTTCTCCTAAGTGTACTGCAATAGCTGGCAGGATCACTGGAAGGCTCACACTGCAGGTGGCACATCCACTTATTTCCCTGGCCCACTCCCAGTTCGCTGCCTTTCCCAAGCCTCCTGTGTTCATGGCACACGGCCACTGTTGCCACCACTGGACAGTGTGCTTTCCCCAGGATCCCTCGAATTATGGGGATGAACTTCTTCTCAACTCTATTATTATATACTAGTCCCACATCCAAGGTCACTAGAAGTAACCAAAGGTACACTGCATAGGTCATTATTTAAGAGCAAAAGAGATCAGTGCTTCTAACCACAGTAAGATGCAATCATTATATAAATACTTGAAGATTTATGGCAGAGAGGTTTCCTATTAATGTTCCATAGAGGTGGGGGAGAGGCTAATAAGAAGTGTGAGATTACAAGTCTACAGTATTACGGGATTTTTTGCTTTTTTGTTTTTACAATCACTCTATACAAGATTTATATTTACTTGGCAATCGTTAACTTACTTAGGCACTTAGGGAGGAAAAACAAAAGTAATCAGAGGTCGGATAGCAAACAACTAAAATAACTTCCTTCTTAATTACTGATAAAGCAAAGGAAGGCAAGCAGTGGAGCTGAAAAAATTTATTCAACTCGCAAAAGATGCCAAAGAGATACTATAAAATCAGAGGTCGGATAGCAAACAACTAAAATAACTTCCTTCTTAATTACTGATAAAGCAAAGGAAGTCAAGCAGTGGAGCTGAAAAAATTTATTCAACTTGCAAAAGATGCCAAAGAGATACTATAAAATCTTAAGTGTTTTGAGAAATTTTATCTTTCTAAATGGTGAGATTGACTGACTACAATTTTAAAACCTGTACTATGTTGATACATGTGAGATACTGGGCACAATGTTTGTTTTAATGGCATTCCTCATATCTTTTATTGTTCTCTTTTCTAGGCATCCTGAATTCAAACCTAATGAATTCAGATCGAACCCTGCAGCAAAAAAATTGCCAATTTGTTATTACTTGGGAAGTCAGAAGGAAAATTTAAAAACACTGAGTAAGATATTATCTTATTCTTTCAAGCTTTTTTCTTTACATAACGCTCCTAAAGAATTTTCTTGCAACACTAGTATCTTTTGATATTTGCATAAAAGGATTCAACAGTCAAATGAGTATGGGAAACACTGGGTTAAACACTCAGACCTTTTAATGTGCTAATGGGTACTGTGAATCTCCAAGAGCCGGTAAGGTAGTGAGTTATTTTC